TTAAGGTCTTCTTTTATCGCTTCTCTGCATCGTTTCGCAAGTTCGGACGTAAGGTTTCGGTTGCCTGCAGCTCGTGCGATTCCACGTTGACGTATCAGTTCGAGTGTCTGCGGAGACAAGCGTCTCTTCGTGACCTTAGGGCTCTCGGCTTTTTTAGCGCTAACGTGAAGATATTCAACGAGTCGATCGTATTCTTCGTCGATGTTGTCGACAACGGTATCTTCCCAAGAGCCGACTAATGATTTGAATACATCCCAGTTTATGGTAGTTCTGGGACTTCGTTGTTTGTATTTAGCGGCTTTCTCTCCTCTCCTCGAAAATCGGAACGTTGCGCGAAGGAGGCGATGGTCTGATCCCGTGTAGAACTTGGGAACAACAGCGACGTCGGTCAGGCAAAACCTCCGATTTACTATGATGTGATCTATTTTGTTAGGGTACTCTCCATTGGGAGACTCCCACGTCCATCGCTGAGAAAGAGGCTTTTGGAATTGCGAGTTACCATGGATGGTTTGGGTCGTCATGATAAACTCGGATAGCCTCTCACCCTGTTCATTCCATTCTAGTCCGTGGGTCCCTATGTGACGTTCTTCAGGCGTTCTTCTAGGTCCAATTTTTGCGTTAAAATCTCCGACAATGACCTCAAAGAATGTATGATCTTCTCTGAAGAATTTTCCGAGGTCCATATGGAACGCTTCGACTTCGTCTTCGTCATAACTTGGTGTTGGTGCGTAAGCAACGAAGATGGTCAAAGCCGGCATAGAACCACGTCGTTTCAACCGTAGTCGTCCGATACGGGTTGCTAGTTGTTCGAACGAATCAATGTTCACGGTTAAATTCGATTTGACGAGGACGCCAACGCCACCGACACCTTTGTGATCGCATGTTCCAAGGAACAGTTCTTCTCCGGTGTCATAGACAGAGTGAAAAGGATGGCGCCTTCCCGTCTCAGCCAGGCCAATGACTTCGTACCTTATTCTTCTTGCTTGAATCAATAGATCTTCTACAGTGGATTGTTGAGCAAGGGTTGTTGCGTTGTAGGTGCAGATTGTCATTTTAGTCCGTTTCAATCTTGGCAGCCTAGTTCGGCCCTGAGATTTTAGCAGCCTCTTCGTACTCGTCCTACCTGGCGCTGCCGTACCAGGGGCTCTTTCGGGATCAGGGGAATGAGGCCCATATTTGTTACTGTTTTTGGATTTTTGATACCCAACGTATAGCTTGCCAGGCTCTATACGTGGGGGCTGGGTACTCACGAGTAGCTTGCCAGTCTCTCTCGGAGGAGAGGGAGGAGCTTATTTGTTGGAGGCGACTCCTAACCGCCTCCCATGTACTTCCCAGCCGCTTGATTGCAGGCTTTTGGCCGACTTGACTCGTAGAAATAGAGTTTTGTCAAGTCGGCGCTGCAAAAGCAGGGAGCTCGTCCCCTGAATCCACCTGCCTCTCTGGGAAGCACACGGTCGCTTTTGGTTCGCGTTTATTCCCCTATCCACCGCCTGGGGGACGCGCCACGTGCCCTCGCGACTAACTGAGCGGGATCCCTCAAAGAGGGAGGTCCGTGGTCTCAATAAGTTGCCCTATTATGGATTTCATGCATGGCTTAAAAATGATCAACAGTTATATGGATATTTGCGTGGTCCTGAGAAATTACTCGAAAAAAGCTGTCCACTCAATTTTTTGCAGTTCAGTTGCCGTGTTGAATACCTATCGCTGAAATGATTTCTAGACTGCTTCTACAGAGTATGTGGCTCCACAGATACTGTACAGCGTGGTGGAACGAGCTTTAGAACATGTTTTTTTCTCAATTTTCTCCTTATTTGCAGTGCATTACTAAATGTATCCACTCTAAACCTTGCAGACTTATGTGTTGTCGTAGTAAAGTGCTGAATATTATCACTACTGTCGCTTCGAGTTAACCTTAGGTTTTTGGAAGCCAACACATTTCTTTCTTCTCGTCCGGCACTCAATTGTTGAGGAGGATTTTTGGCAGGACAATGACTTTCGATTGCGCTTTCAGTAATTATTCGAAAGCTTTAATCTCAAAAAAGCTACTATATGCACTTTTTTATGAAAGGCCTTTTTAACAGCGATGCAGCATTCATAATAAAACTTCTTTTTCCACGAACCGCTTGCTTTAATCATTATCACTCTTATAGTTCGCTGGAGAAAACTTTTCTCTGTTTTGTCTGGACCTTTAAATAGCATAAATCTCAGAGAGGTGAAAATTTAACTTGATTTTCAAAAAAAAAACTCCTCTACAGCGCTGTAACATGAAAATCTATGTTGTCTATCACGTACGTCTCAAGTTATTGTGCGAATTTCTGAGGTTTCTTTGAGAATTTCTCCTATGTTTGACAGAGATTTCTAGGTTCTCCTTATCAAAACCGTAGAAGAATTTCCTCAGCCGTTTTAGGGCTTAGTCTTTCCATTTTCATTCCATTCCGCCTCAAGTAAACTCCGCTACTAAGCCTAACCCTAAGCAGAAAACTATGAGCAGCATGTGAGCACGTAGAGGAAGTCCTTGAGTATCTGAGTCGTATACCTAGCGATGGACTTCATGAGGCTTCACTTGATATTTCAATATATTCTGAAAAGTGTTTTGAGCCTTTCGAAAGATCTGGTAAGGCAATTCGGCATTATACGTATGTTTCAGCGTTCTGGCACTCCTCATCAGTACCACATGCCTTATGACTCGCCGCTGCTACTAATAGATAGCAATCGGCACGAAGAAGTATCAATTTACGTCAGATGCAAGAATCATTGTTGTTGCAGTCTAGAGTGACTGATTGTCCACAGTTAACGAATGTTACGGAAGAATAGTCGTCGAAGCTTCAGGTCAAATCTTTGTGACCTCGCTTAAAAATGCAATATAATCTGATAGGATGCTTTGAGCCTTCCAAGGATCTGATATGGCATATCTCTGGTTTACGTAGTTGCGGAGTTCTTGCACGCTTCATCAGTGCTACATGCCCAACGGCTCATCGCTGTGTAATAACACCGACTTGTCATACCAGACTTCTTGGAAGACTTAAGACCTTTTACCAGACTACATGGAATCAGAGTCGTAAATTTTATCCAAATTTTCTATGAAATTGCCGAAAAATCTCAAATTCAACAACAAAAGTCGCACTCGACCGCGCCTGTGTGGTTTGTCTTTCTGCGCCATCGATCCACACTATTCACACGTCGTAGCCGACGAGCAGTGCGCGTCTTCGAAGCTCAATTTTTGTAATTCCCTGCAACGCTGAACTCAAACAGTCTTTGCAGTAGATAAAAAACGGCTTTGGAGTCGTTGGAACTTACACTATTGAGTGGTCTCTTGTGAATTGAAGAAAGAACTCTGTCCTTCGATAAATATGCGCGTACGGAACATAAATATTTCCTTTTTGCTTCAACCTTGTAAGAAAGCTTTTCAAATCAAGTGCATATAACAGATCTTTGAGATTTAAGCTTCCAATTGATCACTCAACGGCATTGTAAAGTCTCTGTATATTTAGAAATCTTCCTTCAAACATAGGTCCGCGATAGCAAAAAAAAAATCACTTCTGTATCAAAATTTGTGTCATACAAATCTGCATTTTCAGGATAAAAAACATTCCAATCCTAATGGTATCTACTCAAATGTCGCTCAACGGAAAAGAAAAGAAATGGAAATTCGCTTTTTGAAACAAGTAGATGGCTAAATTAATTTTCAAATATTTTGAGAAATCAAAAATTTTTTTCAGGATCTTCCAATAGATTTTCTCTTATCCATTACAGGCAGTGTGCCAAAATACGTCATTTATCCTCCAAGTAGTCTTTTACCGTATTTGCCCGCTTTTCCAAAATAAATGGTTGGTATTCTTCACTAGCACATTCCAATGGGCATTTTTACGCGCGTTGGATGGGTAAGTGCATTATTAGTTCTGTGTTCAAAACATTTTGTGTCATAATTCGTGGAAGATATCCGTTGGAATAAGGAAGAATTTGAAACAACCATATTTGGAGGATTCATGGGGTGCGTGTAATGATTTTGCAAACTCGTCGGCTATTTCTCAGCTGTCCATATCTGTAAACTTTCATACCTAACCTGCTAACCACGATACATTTAAGGGACATCTTGCTAGTGCACTTTTCTAAGTTGTGTATGAAATCCGTGTGTAATTTGTAAAGTTGAAGTTGCAAAGTCATTCGTTTTGTAGGGATAAAACAAAGGTTTTGTATTGGATTATCCAAACTAAGATTGTCACTCTTTTTTTTTCGGTGTTTTGATATATAATGCACCTAGTGATACATGTAGTTGCCTTATTCTCATTCAGATTATAGTTTATTTCATGATTTATTAGAATTTTATCGATTGAAATGGTTTGACAAGATTCGAACTTTCAATTTCGCATGAAGCTAGTAGTTTTCAGGCTCATCGTTGTACTATTTCACTTTCGTCTTTCTTATTTTGGTATCAAGTGGTTTTGCACAAAGACGGTAATGAAAAACAATCGCATGCATTCTATTAATGCAGTTACTGAATGGATTCTGTTCAGATGGTCACCAGAATTTCTCCTAAGTAGGCAAGCAAGCAAGCGAGTTCTATTCGCCGATGTGCAATGTGTGAGCGAAGAGATTGAAGAATTCGTCATTTTAGTTAAATTTTTACGTAGATTCTCTGATTAGTCGATTTCGAATTTATATGAAAGTGAAAAGGTTTGAATAGGAAATAGTGCGCCTACAACAGCACACTTTTACTTAGCGTGCCTAAATAGTAGTGAATGGTAAAATTGTAAATTGCGGCCTCGTGTTTGTCAAGCATTACTGAGAAATCTATGGACTGACTTTCCATTTATTTCGAAGTTGTGATTAAGATGTTTCATTCTTACGAATCGTTCTTGATGGCTTGACATGAGGTTGTCAAGTAGTGTCACCTTCGATTTTTGCTAGCTTAGGTTTCAACGGCTTCACATTTCCCAGATTATGGAGAATTAGACTATTAACAGCATACCCAATAATGTAGAGTGCTGTGCAGAGACGTTTGCGTCAGCCGGGATTCGAACCCGGATCTCACCCTTTTTAGGAGCGTATGCTAACCATTGCACCACCGGCGCTCGTTTTGCACAGCACTCTTTCTACGCTACAACGCGTTATCTGTCAACAACCAACCGTCTACGGTCTGGCGGGGTAGTCGTCAACGACACTGAAGCCACTATTGTTCCCGGCTGACGCAAACGTATTTGCACGAACACTCTACATTATCGGGTATATTGTAACATCATAACACCGCAAGTGGCGGTCAAAAAAAAACATTTCTTATTGACTATTAAGAGCTTTCTTCAATTAATAACTCGCATTCAAAAGAAAATCAAGCATTCAACTAATCTGTTCTGTCTGCTAGAAGTTAGTGACTGTTTTTGTGTTTTGAGGATGAGACGATCCGCATAATTTCTATATAAAATGTTAGAGAAAACTATAGAAGGCCAGATGTTTCATTAAAAATGCGAGCAGGTTTGAATTACGTCTTATAGTTAATTGTTCCTTCGACCCAATTTCGAAATTTGTGGTGTGATTTAGAACAATTTCCACACGACAAACATCTCGACCTTTATGTTCTTCATTCATTGAGAACTGTGCGACGGTGAGCATAGTCGATACGAGCTTCAAAATCGCTTTCATCTCTTGTAACTTTAGAGAATGTAAATAAACGATGTCTTTGAAGTTTGACCTACTGTCTAATGCTGGCAATACACAATGGCTTACTGTAAGCCTTTAACCGAGACATTGAACATATACAATATCTTTCGTGATTTTTCGTTTAATTCTGTCAACTTCATAGATTTTTATGAACGGTTCTATAGGTGTAGGTCTATTTAAGCAGGTCTATATAAACAGTCGAGAATAGGGGATGAAACATTCTATCAGCTACAAGCACTCGATAGTGGTCACTGCGTTATCGCAGAATTTTGGCATCCGACTTATGGTGATCTAATATTCGGCGCCAATTCCTTTACATGTAGAGGTATATCTGAGAGATCGGCTGATCTAAAGGGCACTGAGTTACTGAGGAATCTGGAAAAGTTAAACAGCCACCTGCTTAGCATTGTGTAAGTGCCATGCCAGCAGTAGGATTTGAGACTTCATTTAGATTATATTTATCTATTTGCCTTTAGCATTACTGAGCTTTCTAATGATATGTGTCTACCAAAGCAAACTCGGTGAGGGCCAGTCGCTGACAGCCACGTTAGGAATATCGAAGAAGGAGAGGTAGAAAAGTCACACTCATGGTGGGGTAGTAGTATCACCTGCTCTGGCACAAGCGAGACGAGGGTTCAAGCGCCTCCTAATGTCGGATGTTCTGCATGCCAATTAATGCTCTTGAACACATAATTCCAAGCAGGAATGCATATACGGTCTCAAAGAGTTTTTAAAAAGAGCATCACGATACAATAACTTTGTGATGTAAATCTAGTTCGATATGTTATACTTCTTTTAGTATATAAACCCCCTAAGGGCCACGTCTATCAAAGATGTTACATGACTGTCTGGAGGTCTTTCTCGCTGGATGAAAGATTTCTCTCACAGATTGGCGATAATTCGAAAGCTCATATCTCTGCGATTATAACGACATGCTCAATTTCAAAAATTCGCACTCAATTTGCTTCATTTGCTTGACAGGAGCATCGCTGTGGCCTTTCGCTAAAGTTTTACAAGTCATTTGATAGCTCAAGTTTCGGGGATTTTGATGAAGTGGTTAGTTTTTATGAAATGTTATCACAGAACGCTGTAAAACCGAAAGGAAGAATACACTTTACCTCTAAAATGTTACCCCGTTGCTTGGACGTCATAGGTGGTTTATTGTATTTATGGATAAATATTGTACAGAGGTATCCTATCGCTACACAAACAATGGATTATCACGAACCTTTTATAAAGGCTTTTTGTTATAGAGGGTGACCACTTCTTTCAAAATCCTTCATTTTCAGCAATAATGCCAAAGTTTCGTAAAAAAAAACTTAAGTTTCATTCATTATTATGCATTTGTATCGCCTGTCTCGCGAAAGCGTAGCTTGAAAGCTCATTTGCTTCAAGTATACACCTCTAATAAAGGTCTATGATGTGAAAGTAACTCTAGCATATTGCTGGAGTAAGTATAGGAAGAGCAGGCGTTCATAATTGTTGAAAATATAAGTGCTTTTCCCCTATCTACACTCATAATCTAAAAAGCGTATTTTTTACTCTTCCTTGAACTTGCGTAATCACCCGATAGCTTGAATATCGGCAATTCGAACGGTACATTACATTTTTTTCTAAACGTTTTTGTATAATTTGCTGTAATACTAGTGAAAATAAGATTTTATCTCACACTCAAGCAACTCCCGTTGGACGACATTCAACGACCATTCGATAGCAGGAATCTCAACTATTCCAATGCTATTTTTGGGTTATCAAAAAGTTGCATTGGAGACGACGGCGTAGGACCTGCTGATGATTGCGTTCTTTGCACACATGGGGATGACAAAATAATTTGCTATCTTCGTTGAGTTCTATTCATCAAATTCATTCCAGCTTAACTCATTAACATAAGAACAACCAAACAGCAAGTGAGATGGAGGTTATTTGCCACTAAACTGGTCATTTATTTTCCTTTGCTCCAACATAATGAAAGGTTTTATCAGATATTTTCAGATTACATTAACACTAGAAGCTCTGAACAATTTGTATTACGATATGCTAAGGCAATCAACTATTGTTATCAAAAACGAAATTATCGCGAACTGTTTACAAAACAACGTCTGACTGGTGGCATTTCATTACCATTATTGGATTAAGGCAATCTTCTTAAGGTTTATTTGATAATCCAAATCTCTAAAACTGCCGTCTATTGCGTTTCGGCGATGATTGTACCTTTTCTCTAATTAATCAGTGTATTTCCTACCTAAGAAACCTATAATTTTTCGATATCAAAAAAATTCCAAGAGCGGAAGTGGGAAAAATTCCACGAAATCGGCTGTCTAGGGCAGTAGCTTTTTGAGTCGTGGTATTGCAGACCTTTCAGAAATGGTGGCATTTATTGATGTGATCAGTCGACCACTATGAAAGCGACCCTAAAGTTTTATGTCTTGTAGTGAAGTGTATGAACGTAGATCTAATGACCATGAGCGTAAACGTTGTCACCTGACATATAGATTTGCAGATAAGAAAGGTGAAAAAGTTAGTTATAACTATGCTCACTTCTCCTTTTCGACTAGTCAATGCAGAAAACTCTCCTGTTACAAGTCTTCACTAGTAGAAAAAATTGAGCCCTATACAAAAGGTACAGGCGAACAAAGCTCTTTGAAGACCCAAAGGTTTCTATTGAACACCATAGTATGCCTTTAATAACATTTTTCGCTCCGAAGAGGCAGTACCATTGAAAATACAAGCACAAAAACGCCACGTTACAAATTAAGATGTAACTGACTAAACGTCAAACCCATAATTAACTTTTTAGAGGGTTCAGATTACACGTGGACGCGCTCACTGTGCATTTCCTCCGGAAGACTCGGATACTTGAATTTCGAGCATGGCGGCTGGTGCGAATTTCATGCAGCAATCTGTAGAGTATTGGCAGGTGCAAATTGACAGTGCAGGCAGTGGATTAATTCTTTCAGTAAACACGTTCGCCTAACGTGCAGCTGGTCCTCGGGAGCGGGCGTATTTTCGCAGAATCCACTCTGCACTTGAATTCGTCCGTCTGTTGTCTGATCTCCTTGCTGTACGGTCGGCCCGCCTGCGTTTTGCTATCGAGGCATGTTCTTCTAGGTCACGAAGATGTGATAGCTTTAGGAGATTTGAGCTGCACAAGCCGGCTAAATGATGTGAGTATCCACTCATTTATAGAAGATGTCATTCAAGCGCTCTGTGATCGTTCGCAGTAGTCTTGACGTAATCGAAGTATCAGCCTACTCTCCGCTGCATAACAGGGCGCTGGGAGGACTGTTGAATTGAAAAGATTAGCGCGTATTTTGGAGTCCGTTAGTTGGTCGGTGGCTTCTTTGAGAGTTCCGAATGTGCCTACGCTGCATTCTTCTTCTGTCAAGCTACTCCTTCTGTTCTCCATGTTTAGCAAGCAACGAAAGCACACGTATGAGCAGGTCTCTGTGTCAAAGATACATCCAATTGATGGGTTCATCATTGCACCATTGGTCTTCATGCGATTTATGCGTTGTCCAAGCTTCTTTTCCGCTTCATGGAGCTCATTGAGCATCAGCTCCAAAGCTCACCAATGCTTTTGAGAAACTGACGATGTCATCCGCGAAACGAACGTTTGACAGGAATTTTCCATTGATGTGTATGCCTTTCTCAGCCAAATCAAGCGAGCCCATTCCTAGCTGCAGTGCGGCGGTGAAGAGCTTTGGCGTTATCATATCGCCTTACCAAACTCCTTTTGCAATGAGTATGTACAGAATCAAAAAAGAACTATATTTTCGTGGTGCAGTTCCGATAACAGTCTGATAAAGGTCTTATGGAGGACGAATCCACTCCTCAATCGGCAAGAGTTGATAAGGCTGCGTTCGTTTCGACGCTATCAGATGATTTTCATAATCGATAAAAGTTAGGATTAAAAACAGGTGTTATTCCCGACGAACTTCTATGACCCTTGACGCAGTTTAGATGTAGTTCATGCAGCAAAAACCCTGACGAATTCCTGCTTGCTCAGCTGGTTACGCCTCAACCAAAGTTCTTCATATGCGCAGAAGGATGACCTTCGTGAAACAGCTTGTTAAGTGTTCTCAACAAGCAAATCTGCTGATAATTACGAAGACCGCTATAAGAGCACTTCACTTTATCAGTTTATTTGACCCGCATCCAGATTTTTCCGTCGCTCCTGTACTGCTAGTGTTCAATTCGTCTCCTCGCTTGCTTGGAGATTTAATCTTCTTCACTAATGCCGTCGAATATTGGCCGAGATCTAGCAAAGAAATACCATCTTCAATGTACTAAGAAAAGCGGACCTCTGGCACCTTTCTCAAAAGGGCAAAGTGAACGATCCATAATGAGTTTTGCTATTCTTCGCGTACGCTAAACAAATTGTTTGTATTAACGCAGACCTGTCGAGTGTGCAATAGAG